AATTTTTTTAATTCAAAGGGTTTGTCGTGGGAACATTTTAAGATTTGATATGCGTAATAAAGTGTTCATATATAAATATAAATAATCCTTCGTTTGGAGTATAGTTTTTTTAATTTAGATGTACTATTGTGGTTTTTATCACCGAAAGACAGTACTTAATTATGTTGCATTGCAAAAATTTAAACTTGATCTCAATCTAGAATTAAAATCATTTTGAATTTAACTGGTTAAATTCTCTTTATTTAATTTATTTGTAGCTTCTTGGGATTTATTAGATCTACACAATTATGGAATATAAAGTGTTTCAACAAATACTCATTATTATTTCAGAAATATAATCCGCATAGCCAAGTAAATTTGCTTGAGGAAAAGAAACTCATAGCTAAAAAAAAATTGTTTAAAAGTAAATTTTTTTTCTTCATAAATTTGAAAATTTATTGAAGAAAAATTCAAAAAACAGCTTTCAAAATAACTTTTAAACAAGTTTGGAAAAAATTATACATTCAAACCTTTTCAAATTTTGTTTAAAACTAGGCAAAACCCTATATTAAATCTCCAAACTTATCTTAAATTCTTGATTAAATCTTTAAATTTTTATTGAAGTAAATAAATCCACAAACTTAGTAATTTGGTAATTTAATCATTCATTTTTATGGTAAATTTAACGTTAATTTACATATCACTTACGTGGATAAAATTTTTACATGTCATTACCTATGTAACAGGCATTTACCTTGTTCACGTAAGAAAGGCACAAATGAGTATTAAGTTTGTAGTAAGGAAAATTGTTAAATTACTCAAATTAACAAATTTAAGAATTTATTTGCTTTAACAAAAGTCTAAGGGCTTAATTGAGAAGTTTAAGAACTTAACATTGGGTTTTGCTAAAAAAACTACTTTAAAATCAATTTTTGAATTTTATTCTAACAAAGTTTTAAATTTGTCAAAAAAATTATTTACTTTTAAAGAAAATATTTTTTAAGTTCCACTAAACACATTTATAGTAATCTTTTAAATCTTAAAGGTGTGTTTGATTGGCCACTTCTCCCAAATAAAGAATTTGGGGAAGTTGAGCCAAAATTGTTTTCGACTTAGTTTGTGAAATGTATTCTTTCTGAAAAGGTGGATATAAGCCATTACAAATTGTGATAATTGATTATAAAAGTTTAAAAACTCATTTCCAAGAAAAATT